GACATAAATCAATAGCATTCTCTTAAAATATTGTATAAATTTTGAAAACCTTAATGAAAATTAATAACTTGTCTATTTGGTCAATAATGAAGTTAGATCGAAATGTGTAATCTTTTCATGGGCCCAATTCTTGGAAATAGTCACAGACATTAATGTTGTAGTTGTCTGTTTTTTGCTATCTGCTTTCTTCAAATGTTTCCAAAATCAATGTGTAAGTTTAAGTTCTCTTAATTATTCTCTTCTAACTTCTTGCATAAAGTTTTGCAGTATATCTGTGGGATTTTTTTTTGTTTTGTTTTCTTTAAAAGCCACAGGACAGAAAATTCATGCAGTATTCATTACTGAATGATGACCACATCTCCAATAAAGAGCTCCAGATTCTTGTGTGAAAACACCTCTGCTTTTCAACCTTGTCTCTCTCTTTTGAAACAAATGTTGCTCGAAACCAATTAGCTTTTGTGTTCTCCTTTACTGATTTTGGAACTATGTTCAAGTAATTTTGTATCTGATTTAGGGGAGGAGGAATGAAGTGAGCAGGAGGGTTTTGTGTATTTTTTGAATTAGTTTTTGCTTCTGTTTCAATACCTGCTGGGGTCCCACCATTCACTATTCTTAAATCCTTTACATAAGTGTGACTTTGGGTTTCGTTTTCTTGAATTGCTTTGCCCTGAGAGCTTCTTGCTCTTGTTACATGAACTTCAAAGGCTGCTTTGTGCGGCAAGACCTTTCTACTGACTGCCTGGTAAAGCTGGGTGTTTCCACAGCTTCTGGTGGTACTGTGAAAGGGGAAATTTTAAGTGGAAGCATTGCCTGTGTGGGGTTGTAATTTTGGGGGCTTGATGGGAACCTGGTGAGGATGCAGGTGTGCGCATCATGCTGCACTCGTGTGCAGGCTGTCTGCTCCTGTCCCCGTGCCTGCTGAGAGACCTTGGCTTTGTCTTTGGGTAAATCCAGGTGCTGAACATCACCAAATGCACTTTCCAGGGTGTGGCAGTGGTTACTACAACTTGATACATGCTGCTTTTTAGCTTTTAGCATTCACACATGAAAAGACTTCCTGAAGGTTTAAATGAATTGCTTCTGAAATACTCCAAGTGTGGAAGTGTTGTCTACTTAAGAATAACAATGAGACAAAAGTAAATCATGGTGGAAAGAATAACACCACAAAAGCTTTGGAGTATATTGTATTAATGGACAATTTAGCCTTAGCAGCAGCTTTGCACAGACCACTTAAATTCAGCAGATGAAACAAATTTAAATCCCCTGAGTCCTTGGGGATTACACCACAATGAGTAGCAACAGAAAGGTCAATGCAAAGTGTGGTTGTAATACCTCAGTACTACTGAACTATGTTTTGTACACAAATTGAGACATTTGCATTTGTGGCTCTCAAAACAACTATAACAGGGCCCCTTCCTGAAAGAATGTAATGGTGTTTGTATGCAATAGCACCTTTGGTCCTCTGGGATCTTGGCTGCTCTGGTTCTCTCTGCAAATTTGGAGACTTTTTTTATTTTTTTATTTTTTAATTCAGGAATGCTGTGGGAAAGCTGCACTCAAAGGTGCTTGTTACTGCCACCTTGCTCTTTTGAGCACTCTTACACCATTCCAGCCAGCGGAAGGGCTCATTGACTTGAGTAAGAGTGCAGGATCCAACCCTGAGTAATTAAAAAACAAAAGCTGTGCTGGACAGATGCTTTCTGACCTATGTGTTGGTCTATATATATTGACTTGTTTGAGAAAGAATTCATCTGTCATGATTGTAGCTGACAAAAGTCAAACTGAAGTTAACTGTTGCAAAGGAAATGAAAACTGACGTTATCACTTGTTTATGTAACAAAGAAATAACATTGTGCATACTACGAGTTGGACTTGGAAAGGATGTGTTGAGGTGATTAATTAAATTTTCTATTTCACTGTTTCTTTTTGCACATCCAGGATGAATGAAGCAGGGAACAACTGGAATTTATTTTGCTCAGAGGCAAGGATCACTTCCTAATAGCACTATCAGCACTAATAGCACTATTATAATAGCTTATTGCAGTCTTGCATTCCTGTTTGATTCCTTTCTGTCGTCATCACCATCCACCTCTTCAGTTCCTCACTGTCATTCAGATCTCTTGCAGCCTGGTATCAAGTTTGACTAATTCTTTTGTGCAAAATCCATTCTGACCTAGGTTCCTATGGACTGTGATTGAGTTACCTCTTAATGTTTACTCGAGAGAGAATTAATACCTGCATTGTTCTCTAGTAAAAATAGGTGAAGCTTGTTTCCTGCTTTTTCATTTTAAAAAAAGTCCCATTTTATGCTTCTCTGCAGGTGTGTTTGTGGAGATCTGGGGGGGCTGACAGATGTAATTGCTGGCTTGTTCTGTGCTATAGCAGCTTTCAGTGGTCGCATCCCTGCCATGAGCTATCAGTGCTGCTGAGTGATCCCATCCCTTTCCCAAACAGTGCTGAGCGCCTCTTGTTTGTGCTGGTGTGAGACAGTCTCCTCTGAGGTGATCTGATGGAATGCCCTCTCTGTTCTGTGTGGAGCTGTCCTGGAGCTTCCACATGGTCTGCAGGCTGTGTTCACCCTCTGCAGCATCCTCTGATCGCAGCTCCTACTGTGTGTTCTTGCTTCATGAACTGGGGCTGCTCCCTGTGCACCCTGATCTCTATGGATACCCATTACCTCTGAGCTGTGTTAGTGTCAAGGTACTGGATGAGAGCTGCTGAGCTGGCTTCTCTGTGTAGTGTGGCAGGAAGGATGTGTGTTGTAAAAGGTGATGGTACCAGTCCTGCTGGGCTGGCACTGCATACCTCAAGGTAGAGCAGTTCAAGTTGGTGATCCATAATTGACCCTGGGATATGGTCCTTGTAACAATTTTTTTTGACATCTTTACCCATCTGAACTTAAATGATTTATTGCCAATTCTAGCTGAGAGCAAACTGACGTGGATGACAGGTGCTGATGTCAACACCCCAGTTTGGCACCCCTGTGCTGGTTTTATTCAGCAGTATAGATGCAGCCAGTAAAGATGAGGTGTTGCTCTGAGAAAATGAGGAGCTATTAAGGCTTCATAGCTTCCCTGTAACCTGTTTGTTTGTAACCTGGTTTGTCCTGTGTCCTGACAGGTTGTGTGGTAGATAAGAGCTGGATTTGATTTCCAGCTTAACTGGTAGAATTCTGGGGGACTGGGGGATGTCACCCCTTAAATTTCAGTTTACCCAGTTTCAAGACAACCATGATGGTACTGACTTAAAATTTTACAGTGCTTTCAGATCTCAAATGGGCTGAAACAAAGGCCTGCAAACGGGTGTGACAGCTCACAGTCTGTGCAATTAGTAAATACAGTCAAGTGGGGAATTTGAGGTTCTTAGTGATGCCATAACAACCAAGTTACTTTTGTTTGAGGTACGTGGTCAAGGTTCCTGCTGGTAAAAACCATTAGGGTTTTCCTGCCTTGCTCTGTTTTGTGGGTTGTGATCATTTGCATGTGACCCTGAAAGCATGACTTGACTGCTGCCTGCTCTTCAAAGGGTTTCAGATGCTGTTGATCTTTATCTCTCCTTGTCCCACCCTCACAGTGTTTTTTGGCAGTTTGACCTTCTACTGGGATTATCAAATTTGTTACTGAGAAATTACAATTATGCAAAGAGACTGGGTCATCTTCTGAATTGGATACCCTTGAAATTTCAGTGGCCTGGATTTGGTATCTGGAGGGGGTACTTCTCTCTCCTCAGCTCCTTCATCCTGGTGTTTAAGAACATCAGTTGTTTGTCCAGTGTTTTCAAGAGTCAATACAGGCTGGTTCAAATGGGTCATATCCATACCATAAACAATAAAAAGAGGTGGAAAAGAGAATGAGGAAGATCATTCCTAGAGAAAAACCTTCCCTTAGTCTTGCTCTTCTTAGAAATTCCTGTGACAGAACTCTTGGCAGGAGAGCAGAAGAGGTGAACACCTTTGCAGTGGAGAGCAGACAGGGTCAAGTGTCGAGATGAAAGGAAGGAGCAGGGCTGAAATCCTCCCCTGTGGAGCAGCAGGCTGCACCTTTCCATGGCTGGCTGATTAAAGGGAGTGTTGCTCTGGGTGGATAGGAGAGGAAAAACCCTTGCCTGTGTTCCTTCACCCTGGGAAAACCAGCAGGCTCGTTTGGGTGGGCTCTTCATGGGGATTCCATTCTCATGTCTTTGGTTACTGGCAGCAGCCTGGGAGAAGATGATGTGCCAGCCTGCATTTTTCTTTCCAAAATCATTATTGGAGCATGCTGATAGAAATTGTGGGAGCAACAAGATTGCGTCTTGTCAGCTAATGGTCAGTGCCCTGCCCATCTGTGAGGGAGCACTGTGCTGCCCTGCTGGGTTCCCCCATGTTCTGTGCAGGGAGCTGCTGCTGTGCTTCCCTGGTGCTGGCAGCCTCCTGGTCCTGCAGTGCGCCAGGAAGAAATTCCCTCCACACCCTCTCTGGTGCCTGCTGTTGAAGTTGCTGGGTGTGTTGTTGGGCCTGCTGAAGAGGTCAGTGGTAGATTCAGACCAGTGATGGTGAGATACGTTTGCTTGGCCTTGGGGAAACTGGGGAGATTATTTGAAATGTGGGCTCCTGTTTTGAGGATGGCTTGTATGGGTTCTGCATGCTGAAAGCATCCTTGAGGCCTAGTGGGAAGCATAGCACAGGGATTTGATTTTGATTCAGAGATCCTGAGTACCCTGAGTGTATTGTATAGATTGTTTGATCAGATCAAACAAGTGTTTGAGAGTAACTGATGCAATTGGCAATTATTAGACTTCTGGCTTAAGAAGAATGCAAAGACCTGGCAACATTTTTAGAATCATGCAGCTGAAATGAGTGAGTTCTTGATCACAAGGAACTCAGGAGCAATTCAATATTCCTGGCACCCTAACTAAGAATTGCAGTCTTCTCTGGGAAACAAAGTTGTTGCTCCATGGGTGTCCTGTAAACTTTCCTTCAATTCAGCAAAAGTTATGATAACTTTTTATTTTTTTTTTTACAGCAACACTGAGTGACAATAACTCTGTCAAACTGAAAAGTGATCCTTCACCTCCTGTGCAATGGTGTAAGGTGGCTGCACATGAAGATGAGAAGACCAAGCTGGTTTTTAAAAGGTACTCGCAAGTAAGTGTCGTTGTCACAGCTACACAGAGGACAGTTGTTCTACCCCCAGCCTGGGCAATTACAAAATGGATGCAGAAATCAAAGCATGGGATTACCACAGGCTATGAATGGAGGGTTAAGCACACAGCTTTCCGTGGGATGCTGAAAACACTTTCACACAAGGAGCCCAGGCTAACTTGTAGTACCTGTTTTCCCCAGCCAAAGTGAGAGTCTAGTACTTCACTCACAAGTATTTCCAATCTTTTTTGTATGCAGATAAATAACAATGCTGAGACTTCTGTACAGCCTGATAACTGAGGGAATGGCCGGTGGATGTTGAGTGGGTATCCTGGGGAGGTGTTTTTTATATAGTTATTTTGTTGTGAAGATTTCTGGAATGCTACATCAAAAACCTTACTCCATACTCCATTGTTGATAGCTTGACATCAAATTAAAATTAAAAGATGTGTGGACACCTAGATCCAGGACTGTATTTTATACCTAAAATGTTCACTACTATGATGCCACATTAATTTTTAGGTCTTAAAGCTAAAAAACCCAAAGACAAACTGTTACATACACAGGTGGATATAACCTGGATAGTGCAACCCTAGCTGAATCTGGGGATACTTGATTAACTTCTGGAGGAAAACCAGCCTCATTTGTCAGCTGCGAATTTTCTGCTTTCTGCCTGTTGGCTGATCTCCAGGGGTTGCAGCCTAACATGCTAATGAAACTCTTAGATCACCTTCCAGTGGAAAATGTAATTTAGTTAAGTGAGATGTGAGAGCAGCCCTGTGTTTCCAGGGGTCACCTTGTTTGCAGTCTGTACTGCACACTGAGTGCTGGGATTGCATGTTTTGTTCATATAGCACAAGCTTTTTTAAAAAAAAAATTATTGGAAATCTGTATTAACTTCATCTGAAAGAGTTTCAGGAAGCATTGAGCACTTAATAACTTGTACATTTTTAAAGACATTTAAACAAATGTCCAGTCCTTAGGACACAATAGGAAATGAAAATCAATAAGAAAGCTCAAATTATGTACTTGAGCAGCAACCACAACTTTAACCAAATAATGATGTAAGTATTCTACAGATGGGTTTAAACATGAAATGAGCTAACATTTGTTATATTATATATATATTTGGTTGGACTTTTTCTGCTGCTTTTTTTGGGGGTGTAAGTAACTAAGGCTTTTCAGCCTGAGCATCTAAGTTCTGCAGTCTGGCCTGCCAGTGAGTTGAAAATTTTGTTTCCATGACCCAAAATCATGCAATTTGAAGTTCCAGCCTTTTTTCCAGCTTGCATGAAAATGTTTTCCAAGATACGACGTTTAAAGAAGAAAAAAAAGTCACTCTTGGTTTCATTATGTGTGGAGAACTGTTTGACTCATCAGAGATGCATTTAAAGCATATGATGCAAGCATTTTCCTTATCCAGGCATCTGTATGTGTTCATACTTTCCTGCAGATAACTTTCAAGAGTTATACAAGACTTGAAATGAACAAAGCAATAGTTGTTTCTTTTTTTGGTTTGATTCAAATGCAAGTATTCACATGAAGTTCAACTGGCTTAAATTTGCTTAAAAATATTGATTTAGTAGTTGACTGAATATCACAAAAAGATGTTTTTGTTTTTCTCTCTTATCCCTCACTGTCCTATTTGTTTTTAGAATTCTTGCACTGTTTGTGGTTGGAGGGTGCTTCCTTTATATCCTCAAATTACATTTTGGCCCTGAGGAATGTGACAGAACAAAAATGCCGTATGTGGACCTCGATCGTGTAAGGGTTGGTATTTTTTGGCTTTTTTTTCCCACTTGGCTTAAAAAAAAAATCTTATTAGTTCACAATGCAAGAGTTATAGGGCGCTGCAACAAAGAGTTAGAATCCTGAAATTATCTGTTGAGAAGAAGTATATTTTACTTCTTTTCATGCCATAGACATTCTGGTTTTTGTTCTTGTAAAGTGATGACAGAAGCACATAGAGAAGCTGAGTTTTTAGGGTTAAAATTAGATAACTGTGACTTTAAGCTTTGAAATGGACATGCCATCATCCCATTTTGTCAGTGCAGATGATACTGGTGATCAGAAGATTGATGCAAATGAAAAGTAACATATTAAAAAACCTAAAACAACCCAAACCTAACATATTAAACCAAAGGGTTTTTTTGGTTTTTTGTTTTTATTATTTTTTTAACCTAAGCCAATTTCCCAGTCTGCTTTGCTTTGTAATTGATCAGATGTTTTTGGAATCACAGGGCAAATATCCAGGAGGGTGCAGCTCCTCCTTAATAATAATTTTTTTCATTTATTCATTCAAGGTGGCAGCTACTTACTTTAGCTACAGATTTGCAAGCAGCTTTTAAAGAGGTGTAACAGACGCCACCGAAGCATTTGCTACTCTAACTATTTGCACTTTATAGCAGAACTTACCTGGCTTAGGGCTGTTAGATTTCTGTCTTTGGATGTCTCAATGCTAAAAGGGAACTTCCAGCAGAGACCCTGGCTTAAGACCATCTCATCTTAGCATTACTGCATGTGCATCTTCCCTGTCTTAGTTTAGGGCAAATTAGGAAGGAAAACTCCAAATGGGGATTTCCCCAGGGAAATGCCCCTCCCCACCAACTGGTCCGGGAAAAGAAAAAAAATTCCTTAGAGAGAAGTGGAAATAGCTGTTTATTTAACAGAAATTGAGTAATATTAAATAATAAAACCTCTTGCTGTTTGATGGGATGGCAAATCTAGGAGGAAAAAAAGTCTTTTTCATGTGGTGTAGCTCGGCTCGCTCAGGTTCTTATCAGTCCCTCCGTCGCTGGAAAGTGCTGAGGCTCAGGCCCAGGTGGGCCACAGGCGTGAGCTCCCGGGGTTTGGCTGGGTGTTCAGTCCAGAGCAGGCTTGCACAGATCCAATAAAATTGGGAAAAAAACAAACAAAGGTCTAGGGAACTCCTCTGCCTCAGCTAGCTAGAACTAACTAAAAGCCAGAGAGAAGCTCTGTCCCGCTGTCTGTCCGTGCTGCAGACACCACAGTCCCGCCAGCGAGATGTGTGGGAGTGATGTTTTTCCTTAACACAAACTGTGCGCTTCTTCTTCCCCCTCTCTTGCTCTCAAAGCCAGTCTTAAAGGTGCAGAACTTAATATATAATATAAACCAGACGATTGGGGATACCAGTATCATAAAGTCACCCCAGGACACTCCCCCACTTGCCATCATCTTCTGTGCATGTCTTTCCCCTTCTGAGCCTCTTTGCTTCCCTTTTTTTCTCATTTGGCTTGCTTATTTTTTCAATAGTATTCTTGATTCTGAAGAACAAACACATTAAACCAAGCAAACCTGAAGATTTCATGGACTGTGTTTATTGCTATCTCAAAAAGTTTATTGCTTCTCAAAAGAAGTTGCTCAGTCGTGCTTTGCCCAGTGTGGTGTTTATGCAGAAACCTTCGTAATAGTGTTAGAGGAAGTTCTGTAAGTCAATCTTGGTTAAAAAAAAACAAACCAAAAAGCCAGCAGTAGAACTTCCCTCCCTGTTCCCTTAGATACACACTATTATTAACAGTAGATTTGAATCTTGTATCTCTGACCCCTGTTTGCTCATGGGTTTTTTTTAATTACAGTGGAGGAAAAACCAGCCGAGTTGATTGGGAAAGATATGATGCAAACAGGATTTTATTTTAGCTGATAAAAGCAATAACTTTGCTGTTCCTCTTTTTACATCAGATACCAGCTTGCCTCTACAAATTTCTAAAAATGTACACTAATAGTGCTTTGTTTTTATTATGAGGTGATCAGTGTGTAGTTTTGTCTGTCTCTTTAATATTTTTATGCAATATGGAACAGTAGTCTCTTATTTTGGTGATCAGTCTTTAAAAGAAGGCCCGAAACACCCCCTCCTGGCATTCCTTATAAAGTCATGTTTTAGTCATTAGCACTTTAGCAATATTTATGGAAGAAGCATTGCTTCATTCTGGTGAATAAGCAAGTCCAGCTGCTGTTGCACAGAACTTTTACCCAATGAATGGATGCATCTCTGGTGGAATCCTACCACGGGCAGAACTCAGGTCATGCAGCTGAGCAGAGTGAAATTCCACTTGCTGCTAAATTGGACAGATAGAAGTATGTCTAGATTTTTTTATTTGGTGTTGCAAATGGTAGTACAAACTGGTCATTTTCACTTAGCGCCTCTACTAGCCTAAAAATTCTTTAGAAAACCTCATACCCAGGTTTAAAGGACTGAATGGAGTGGAATTCCTCTGCAGGTTTTCACCATGCACTGGCTCATATCTACATTTGAGTAAGTGCTTTAAAATTTCTCTACTTATTCTTTCTTTATTACCCCTGTGTTTGCTAAACTGCTGGTGGTCAGCTGGTGGGCCACATTCCGAGGGCTTTGTGCATTCCTGCATTTCCTGGCTGAAATCTCGTGTGTTTTGTTTCAGAGGGCACAGCAATTTGCCAGCGCCGTACTGCAGGAGCAGTGCCGACCTTCTTACGCGAAGAAAGAGATGGAAAAGTTGTTTGCAGAGAAATACAGCATGGACATATCTCCCTTTGTGAGGAAAAATATAAATGAAGATGAAGCTTTATTTAAATATGAACCTCCTTTTGGATTTCACAAGTTCTTTGATACACTTAAAGATCTCCTTGAACTCTTACCTGAGCATGATTTACCAGAAGATTTGAAGTCAAAGCACTGTAAGCGTTGTGTTGTTGTTGGCAGTGGTGGAATTCTTCATGGATCAGAGCTGGGTCACTTATTGAATCAGTTTGATATTGTTATAAGGTATGTATTTTTCATTTAAGGACTCCAACTACTTCATCATTATTTTATGAACCAACATAGTTTTTTAAGGGGAAAATATCTCCAACATCAACACAACCTACAAGACTTTCTGAAAGTACTTTTGAGAAATTTACTTGTGACTTGGTGGAATTTAAAGTCTTAGGTGCAAAATAAATTGTCATGTTTAAAAGAAAGGAATTCAGTGTAATTATTTGTGGACTTCAGGTACAAAACTCACATGGGCAGAAACTAGATAGAAGCTAGTGACATCATAGACAGGTAGACAGTACTGGGTTTATTCTTTCACATTTTAAAGCTTTCAAATCTTAAACATCAGGACGTAAGGACTCACCTCAGCTTTTTTCCCCATGGCTAGTTTGAATGCTTAGTCAAAAGATTTTTTTATAACAGCTATTTCAAACACAATAAAATTTAATTGGTGTTTCAGTACACAGTTTGCTTACACACTTTATAACACACTTATATTCCCTTATCTTTACGAGGTCAGTGACTGCTTCTATGATTGCCTTGATTTCTGACATCTGAATTACATGCTCTGTATTTATGCCTTCTGAAAAGTATAATTTAAAATGTTGTTTTGGATCATGTAAAGTCACAAATAACATAATACAAGCATTTTCTCAACTTGTTTTGTAAATTAAGGCTTGTTCCCCTTATTAAGGGAATATTTGAGTCAATAGCCCTTATTAAAAGGTAAACAAACCTGTTAGCATGTGGAGGGGCAGAGAACTTGTATTAGCTGTCCTCTGAATTTAGGGCTGCTAAGATTAAGGTGATTTTTCTGTTGATGTGGAGAAGTTTGCAGGACTTGAGCTCTTCTGCAGAACTCATGGAGGGAGATGATGCCGTTTCTGTCAGCAGTGTGCCAGCATCTGTTTTTGCTAAACAGGAGATGATATAAACCCACAGGATGCGTTACATTGCATTGGAGGGATAACTTGTATGACTTATTGTGTGGAATACTCGTGAGTGTGTGTGTGTGTGTATATAAATATATATATATGAAAAGGGTAACACAGGCAACTTTCTGTGTGTTTTCTTCCTGTTCTACTTTTAAGCCTCTCTGAGTTGACACAAAGCAAAATATACGAAATTCTGCAATGCTGTCTTAAGTCACTTTACTCTTCAAGCTTTTCTTTCCAAAGTTCTGCACTTGTGCCATTTAATATAGAAATCGAATTGGCTTCCTCCCAAAGAGAAGGGCTGGAAGAGTGAGTGAAGCAAGAACATGGGGGTTGTAAGAAAACACTGTAGTCTGCTCAGTTAAAAATCTGTGGGCCAAAGAACAAGTTTTTGCTTAGTGTCTGATATTTTAATGAGATTGTAACCTGTTTATTTAATATCTCTCCATTGTGGTTTTCTTTTCCCCCAGGTTAAACGATGCACCAGTTCAAGGTTACACAGATCATGTTGGTAACAAAACAACAATACGGATGACTTACCCCGAAGGAGCCCCCTTTTCTGAACATGAGTATCCTCCTGCAAGCTTGTTTGTGGCTGTTCTGTTTAAAAGAGTTGATTTCAACTGGCTTCAAGCCATAGTAAAAAATGAAACCTTGGTATGTAAAGTGACAGTCTCACGTACCCATATTTTTGTTTGTTTTGTTTTCCAGTACTTAAAGAAGCTGATTGATCTGTTACTTCCTGGTTTATTGTGCTGAGGATCTTTTATATAACTTTGTGGGTTTTTTTTAGCTCTGTCTCCTAGTTACAGTTGGACCAGCATTTGTGTTGAAGCCCCATGCTGACAGTAGTACTTCTTTTTTGTGGAGATATTGGTGGTTTTCAGCAGGCTACGTGATATACTGAGTGTTTACTGAAGTGGAATTCATTTCACATTTGGTTTAAGTGACTGTGGAGTCCAAAATAGAAATGAGATTTTTGAATGCCAGTCCATTTTTTTAGCAGCTGAAGTCTGTACTGCTACAATGGGCATACACAGAGTTAACATATAATTGAACATTTGTCTGATGCTCCTAAATTATAAGGTTGTTTATTTTTCACTAAACATTTAAAGAAGTGCTGAGATTCCTAAGGAACTGATGGAAGGGTTTGATGTTTCCAAATTATTGTGAATTGGTGGCTTCTACCTCTTTCAATCTGCAGGCAGATAATTTCAGAAAGTAAAAATTACTGAGAGGTATTTAGAAGGCCTGTCAAGTCTTTTAACAGTTTGATCTATGCTAGTTTAGGTACTCCAAATTCCCTTCTTAATTCTGTGATCTTTACAATATGAGAAGGTCTGTTAAATCTTGATCAGGACTGTCTACTACTGCACAGAAGAGCCAGGAAGATGCATAAGGGACTGGAGCATCTCTACCATGAGGGAAGACTGACAGAGCTGGGAGTGTTTGGCCTAGAGGAGAGATGACTTTTGGGGGATCTTATTAATGT